CCGAGTTGGGGGTGGGTGGGAAGTGGGCTGCGCCCTGCGCCCGGCCGGGCTCACGCCCATTGCAGGGAGAGGGGTGAGCCTGGCCGGCTTCCCCCGCCGGCGCCTCGAGTGGGCGGGTGTGCCGGGGGGGCGAGGCCAGGCGTCTTGGCCCACCGGAGCCTTGACTGTGTGGGGCAGGACAGCCAGCTTCGCCGGGGGGGGGGGCAGATGGAGACGGCGACCCGCACTCGAGGCCAGGCTAGCGCCCCGTTGTCTTCAGTTCCACAACGGGCATTCTTCCTAGTATACATATAAAACCATATAAGACCATACATATAAACCAAGTATTTTGCAAACTACATGATATTGCATAATGTTACATAAAACAATTTGTTACGAAGTGTTGCTCATTTATAGCTAATTATAAAAACATGGCTACCTTCACTGATATTTCAGTAGCGGAGTCATTCAGAAGATGGTGCACTTTTAAAGCATCAGGAAGGTCCGTCATGTTGGCTAAAATAGGGTTTAAATATCTGAAACATATATCTACATAAAATTGGCAGTGCAAACAGATATGTGAAACTGTCTCGATGCATCCAGAGTTACAATGACAAAGTCTAGACGTATATGCTATATCAGTGATGGCGAACCTTTTAGAGACCGAGTGCCCGAACTGCGACCCAAAACCCACTTATTTATCGCAAAGTGCCAACACAGCCATTTAACCTGAATACTGAGGTTTTACTTTAGGAAAAAAACCTCATACGTTAACTTAAGACAATCCAAACAAAGTAAGGAAAGCAATCCCAAATGCTTTCATTTACTTAAAATTATTTGGCAGAGAATTCAACACTTTAATGATGGTCTGGGCCTGGCTGGGGTGATGGCACCCGTGCCCACAGAGGGGGCTCTGAGTGCCACCTCTGGCACCCGTGCCATAGGTTCGCCACCACTGTGCTATATTATTATATCGCCCATGCAAGACTGCTGATGGTAGTGCATTGAATCTTGCTAGTGAAAAAGCTCTGCGCTGTTGTGGTGGTGCTTGTATGTCAGATAGGTATGGGGCCATTCGGCCTACCGTGAGGGGAATCTCAAAGTTCAGAGGGGAGCAGGATTTGTTGGCTAAGCTGTATAGCCTTTGTGTTTCAGTGTCAAGGACTCTACGTTTAATCATCTGAAAAGCACCCATAAAAGGGAACATAAGCAGTGAGTTCAAGGGGATGCCCACGGCAGTTATTTTGTTCTCAATGTGTGGTAGCCAGTTAGACATGTTTGACTCTGTGAGCATGTGTTGTATAAGGCTCCCTTGATCTACATTGTAATGTAGACACAGCCAATATTTTATTGTCATTAGCCAGCCTCCCTGGTTAAAAACCATTAGCTTTGAAACAATATTTTAGGACAAAAAAGTTGTGCAAACTGAGGAATGAGCTTATCTGGCTACAATAAATGTCTACCAGGGAGCCGAATGGACCTCCTACTGGCACCTGGGTTGGACTGAATGGGCCATTGGCCTGATCCAACGTGACTTCTCTTATGCTCTTATGAACAGTTACAGAAAACCTGTAACTGTTGGCATGTCTGATTTTTGTAGAAACAGCCAATGGCCCCCCTTCTTTGGGATACCGATTGACTCTGGATCCTTAGTAGTATACCTCTTTGTTTCTAAACAGAGCTTGGCTTCTGGACTGTGGGACTGCCCCCCCCCCCCACAAATACAGCTTCAACTAGAAGGATGAAAATAAAGCACCCGATGACAAGACTTGGTGGGAATGTGGGAAGAAGAGGAGAAAGAAGAGATGTAACAATGTATTGAAGAGACTGAAGAGTGCAGCATTGGCCTTCTTGTTGCTGAAGTGTAATGGCTTTGGAAACAGGCAATGAAATCAAGGGTTGCCACAGTGAACAAGAGTCCTGGAAGCGCGTGCGTGCATGCACACACAAAATCCTCCAGGGAAATGGAATTCTCCTGGTATTCTAGACTTCTTCTCCTTCCAGTGGTTCTGCTTTTGTTGTTGTTGTTCAGTCGCATAGTCGAGTCCGACTCCTCGCGACCCCATGGACCAGATCACGCCAGGCCTTCCGGTCTTCCGCCATCCTCTGAAGTTTGCTCAACTTCATGTTCATTGCATCTATGACACTGTCCTTTGCCGTCCCCGTCTTCTTTGACCTTCAATCTTTCCCAGCATCAGGGTCTTCTCCAGGGAGTGCTCCCTTCTCATTGGGTGGCCAAAGTATTTGAGCTTCAGTTTCATTATCTGGCCTTCCAGGGAACAGTCAGGGTTGATTTCTTTTAGGATTGACTGATTTGATCTTCTTGCAGTCCAAGGGACTCTCCAGAGTGTTCTCCAGCACCATAGTTCAACAGAATCTATTCTTCGGCGCTCGGCCTTCCTTATAGTCCAACTCTCGCAGCCATACATGACTACTGCTTTTAAGAACATACAAATAGCCTTCCTGGATTCATTCAGACCAAGAATTCCTTTAGGATTGTATTTCCAGCAGTGGCTGGGTATTCTGCACTTTATCAGTGTTGAGTATTTGAAGCCAATGTGGGCGGGAAAAGTTTTTGGAAAATAAAACGTTTTGGAAATAATAATATCTGTTACCACAACCTTTGTTGCATTTAATTTTTTTGACACCAGTTCAGAGATGTTGCTTGCAGGGAGGGGGTTACACTAGAATGGCATCACACTAACAACATGGGTGCTATATTGCCGGCATATGTACGCACACCCCTGGCAGTGTAACTGTACACACTTACGGCTAGGAACTACTGAGCGAAGGACAGTTGGTGGGGCAATGAGTATGGGGGGATGAGTCCCCTTCTTTGCTTGCATGTATTGAGTGCGTTGACCTTGGAAGTGCGGGAGGCTCCTCTTTGGTGTCCGTGTCCAGAGGAGTATCAACAAGGATTCTGAACATACCAGTCTTAGGCCTATGCAACAAAAAAAAAATTGTTCTCTCCCTCTGCCAGTTGCCTCAGTGCCCACTTTTTCCGTGAAGTGCCCTTCACCAAATACCCGCTCTGGGGTGTGCATGTCCTCAGTGTTCTCAACATGAGGCCAGAGTAGAGTTGGCAACTCCAGGTTGGGGAATTCCTGGAGATTTGGAGGTAGAGCCTGCGACTGTACTTGGCTAATTTAGTTTCTACTCATTGGTAGCCCTAACAAAATTTTAAATTTTGTAACAAAGTCAATAATGGGATAAGTCTGAAGCCCATTGAATCAGTTTCCTACCAGAAGCTGGTAAATGAATTAGGCAACGTTCTTACATGCACTGACCTGGGAGCAAACCTCACTTTCAGAGGGATCCGCTTCTAGCATGGGTTCCAAATAGGGTTACCAATGTCCATGTAGCTGACAAAGTCAACAGTGACACATGGAAGTTCACCCCCTGCCACCAATTTTGTTTCGTCTTTAAGATGCTACTGGATCTTGCTTTTTTTTTTTTTTACTGCTACAGACAAACTAACATGGCTATCCAACTCGATCTAATGCCCAAGTAGAGCCAGGTGATTTCTTGGAATTATCACTGATCTCCAGATCACAGAGATCCAATCCTCTGGAGACCACAGCTTCAGGCAGGCAGGCGTGCTGGTCTGAGGCACTAGAACAAAGCTTGAGTCCAGTGGCACCTTTAAGGCCAACAACGTTTAATTCTGGGTATAAGCTTTCGTGCCCATGCACCAGAAAGCTTATACCCACAATCAGGGCCGGCTCGCCCGCTAGGCGAACTAGGCCTTTGCCTAGAGCGCGAGCCGGCCGTTAGGGCGCGGGACGAGAGGCAGGGGCGGCCGCCAGCGAGGGAGGCAGTGGTGCCACGCAGCCCACAGGAGCGCCCTCCATTGAGCCAGGCGCCGCGGCCCGTGGCGACACCACCACCAGCAGCTGGGAGGAGCGCCGGGAGGAGCTCTGCCGGCTGCAGGGGGAGCACGCGGGGCGGCGTGGGCAGGGTGCGGCGCTGTAGCTGGCCGGTGGAGGAGCAAGAGAGGGGGCGGAGGTGGAGGCAGGGGTGGCTGCGGGCCTGATGCAAGCCCTCCGTGGGCCTAATCTGCCCCCCCTGCATGTTTGACACCCCAGGCTTACAGGGAGCATTGCTCACAGGCAATGTTCCCTCTAAGCTATGGAATCTGGTGAGCAAAAATCCTACTCTGTGAGCTCCTGGCATTAAAGTCGTGAGCAGGTAATTTGGCCACTGCACAAACTAGTTTGCTCTGGAGCCAGCCTTCCTGAGCGAAGACAAAAATGTGTGAGCCTGAGGCTAAAAAAACTGTGAGCTGGCTCAACACTAACTCAGCTTAGAGGGAACACTGCTCACAGGGTGTCTGTTGTGGGGCGGGGAAGGGAAAGGAGTTTGTAAGCCGCTCTGAGACGCCTTCGGGTAGTGAAAGACAGTCTCTCCTCTTCTTTATTAAAGGAGCCTGAGAAGCATGTGCTCAAGACGCAGTTCTACAGCACCCTTTCGAGTAGGCCGTAGTGGGGCTTACTCAGGGCCGGATTTAGACTTGCTGAGGCCCTAAGCTATACAAAACCCAGAGGCCCCCTACTGTTTTAAATTACATCAGCTGGTCTCAGAAAAATTTAAAATATACACGCCTTTTTCATATTTGAAATCATTTTTTATATTGTGTTTTTATTTGAGGCCCCAGCAGATTGTGAGGCCCTAAGCTGTAGCTTATGCGTAAATCCAGCACTGGGCCTACTTCTGAGTAAGCACCCCGCCCCAGCCCGTGCACACTTGAAATGCAACGCAACTCCGTCCCAAGGACCAGGCAGGGCAAAGTCCTCCCCTGCAGCCTCTCGCACGCGCCGGCGCCGAGAAGGGGGCGGGGCCCGCGAGGGAGGAAGGGCGGCCTCCGCCGAGTGACGATTGGCTGGCGGGGAGGAGCGGCGGGGGGGCGGCGGTGCACGCCGGGAAGCCGCTTGTAGCTTAGAGACGCCTCAAGAAAGTAAACAAGGGCGGGCGGGGTCATCCTGGTTTCCGCTCTTGTGCCGTAGTAGAGGAAATAAAACATGTGCGGGGCTTCGAGCTCTTCCGCCGCTGGCGACGGAGGCTCCGGCTACGACGAGAAGCTCCGTCGAATTCAGGTGCACCTGCGGGACAGGTGAGGCGGCCGGCCGGCAGTCTAGTAAGGGCCCCCCCCCGGGGGGGAATGGTACATCCCGCCTCCGCGCGCTTTCTTTCCCTTCCCCGCTTCAGGTTGGTACATTCCGGAGTGGCTCGTGGCGCGTGGCCAGGGCGTAGCCTGCGTGTCGTTGCTGGGCAACGGGCGAGGCTCGCGCCGGGTCGGCCGCTTCCTGCCAGGTGGTGCGCCGCCGCGCTGGAGAAGGGAGACGGAGATGCGGAGCGTGAGGTTTTTGCAAAAAAGTGACATTGGCGCTTGTGGCTTTTCTTGTATATCATTTTCTATGAAGTTGTTGGATTTTATGCACAGCTGATTTCTTCAATGCCGACGGGTCTACTGCTGCTGGAGCAAGGTGGGGGAAAGGATCTCTTTTTGCCTCGAATTTGCATGCTGGCCTTTAATGAGACGGCTTCCCCTAAGTGCCCTGTGCCCACTATCATCACCCAGCCTGAGCATGCCCATACGGAAGTCAAGTGCTGACTGTAGGTGTGTTACGCATGCTGCTACCACTGTACCACCATCGCCGTGCAAATTGTTTTTAGTAACCACGTTGTGTTTTTTTGCAGATATATTTATATTGTTGTTTTATCTGTTGGGATTTTTTGGCGGGGAGGACGGGGTACAAATCAAATAAATAAGGAAATAAGTGCTTAACATGGCAAATGCTGGTGGGCTCCTCCTAGCGAACAGCTGGAAGCAAGGTCGAGTACGGAATATTGAATGCTGGCGGTGTAAGATATGAAACGTCATGCTTATGGACAAAATCGCTGCGTTAAGGTCTGATGGGTATGAGATGCATAATGCATCGCTTCTGTGCAGTCAAGGGTGGACTCCCATCCTTGTTTTTTGGAATCGACATCTTTCCAGTTGAGACAGCAAACAGGGGTTTTTAAATGTGGCTTGCATACTTGGGTTTTTGTAAATAAGAATAAGGTAACAATGGATTCGGATGTATTACAAGCAGGGGTCATTTCGTGGAAAAAGAGGTGCAGGAGCTCATTAGCATAATTTACTAGCATATGCAACACCCCCTGACATCACCGGAAGTGTGTCAGAAGGCAACACCCACCGCTCAGTCTCCACTGAACTGTTTTGGTTTGTTAGCTATTGGGGGGGGGGAAACTGTACTCGCAAAGGAGGGAGAGCTTGTACCTGAGTAAACCTTGGTCTTAAAGGTGCCACTGGACTCTTTTGGATTGCTAGCTATGGGGGGGGGGAATGCACAGATCTGCCCTCACAGAGGAGGGAGAGCTTGTACTTGAAGGCAGGCGGGGGTGTGTGTGTTTCTGCAACTTACCTGGCTGCTTCTTGCTCCCCGTGGCCCAACTGAGGGCTGCTGGAAGCAGGGGGCGGGGCTTGTTGCATGTGCCTGCCCGCTGGGCTCCTTACTGCCAGAGCTCTGCTCCTGTGTGCTCCCGCAGGAAATTACCACTGATTACCAGTGAGTGATTTGTAATTTAGAAATGCGGTGTTGTTATGAACACAGTTTGTATTCCATCTTTCTACTCTTACAAGGGGTACCAAGGTTGCTAAAAATGTAAAACATCCATGATAAAATTACATTATAAAATCCTTAAAATCAACCTTCTCCCAATTTGTAACGACTCCTACCCACTAAGCTGGGCACATGCTTGATTTGGTCTTCGCGGTGGGGGTTTACAGTGGACCGGATTACTGCTTCAGCGGTACCATGGTTGGACCACCTTGCTCTGAAGGCCCATCTGAATATGCCACTCTGGGCGGTGAGCCTATTTTGGCTCGCCCGCAGACCCAAATGGACCTAATGCTGCTTCAGGTGGCTCTCTGGGATCGATGCCCCCTGGCGGCTTGTTAGGTGAGCTTGTAGAGGACAGCCATCGACGAGATCGCTTCCATATGCCCTCTGCGCCTTCGCTCTAGGCTTGCGCCTTGGTTTACCCAGGAGTTGCGGCTGATGAAGCGAGAGCTAAGACGGTTAGAGAGACAATGGCGGTGTACTCGCGACGAAGCTACAAGAAGATCTTATAGGACGTTTATGAGATCCTATGAGATGGCAGTCAAGGCCGTAAAAAGAGAGTATTATATGGCCACGATTGCGTATGCAAGCTCACACCCAGCCCAACTGTTTAGAACGATTCGATCTATTACTACTTTGCTGCAAGGCAAATCAAATGCTAGGGAATTGGCCATTGGCTGTGAGGCTTTTGCGAGCTACTTTGCAGATAAAGTCCCGTCGCTCCGCCGCAACCTCCCCGCTACGGTTGATACAGTGAGTGAACTCGAGGCTCTACGCACGTCTTCTGGTCAAGTTCTGGATCATTTTGGCCTGCTCAGCCTAGAGGAAGTCGACAAATTGCTCCTAACTGTCCGCCCTACCACTTTCTCCCTTGATCCGTGCCCTTCGTGGCTAATTAAAGCCGGCCGCAAGGGTTTTCGAGGTGCCTTGCGGGAGGTCATCAACAAGTCCCTCTTGGAGGGATTGTTCCCTGAGGCACTCAAGGAGGCGATGGTCCGCCCTCTCCTGAAAAAACCAACTTTAGATCCGACTGAATTGGCCAACTATCGGCCGGTGTCTAATCTGCCCTATTTGGGCAAATTGATTGAGAGGGCGGTGGCGACACAGCTTCTCGCCGACAGTGCTTTTTGAATGACACTTAAGAACATAAGAGACGCCAATGTTGGATCAGGCCAAAGGCCCATCCGGTCCAACACTCTGTGTCACACAGTGGCCAGAAATACCAGGTGCTATCAGGAGGTCCACCAGTGGGGCCAGGACATTAGAAGCCCTCCCACTGTTGCCCCCCCCAAGCACCAAGAAGACAGAGCATCACTTGCCCCAGAGCCCCTATCTATACCTTGTGGCTAATAGCCACTGATGGACCTCTGCTCCATATGCTTATCTAATTCCCTTTTGAAGCCGTCCATGCTTGTAGCCGCCACCACTTCCTGTGACAGTGAATTCCATGTGTTAATCACTCTTTGGGTGAAGAAGGACTTCCTTTTATCCGTTCTAACCTGACCGCTCAGCAATTTCATGGAGTGCCCACGAGTTCTTGTATTGTGAGAAAGGGAGAAAACTTCTATCTTAGATCTCTTCCAGTCTGACTTTCGCCTGGGCCATGGGACAGAGACGGCACTGGTCGCCTTCATGGATGACCTCCAGAGGCACATGGATCGAGGCGGATCAGTGGTGCTGATGCTGTTAGACCTGTCGGCAGCATTCGACACAGTTGACCATCAGCTACTGACCCACTGCCTTGCTGACGTTAGTATCCAGGGGCTAGCCTCTGCAGTGGCTTGCCTCCTTCCTCGAAGGTTGGGGACAAAGGGTGATGCTAGGGAAACAGCTCTCCCAAAGGCACCCACTAAATTGTGGAGTGCCTCAAGGGGCAATGCTGTCCCCGATGCTTTTAACATCTGTATGCGCCCCCTTGCCCAGATTGCCTGGAGGCATGGGCTGGGTTGTCACCAGTATGCGGATGGCACCAGTGTTCCCTCTAAGCTGAGTTAGTGTGAGCTAGCTCACAGTTTTTTAGCCTCCAGCTCACAGATTTTTGTCTTAGCTCAGGAAGGATGGCTCCAGAGCAAGCTAATTTATGCAGCAGCCAAATTGGTCACTCACAACTTTAATGCCAGTAGCTCACAAAGTAGAATTTTTGCTCACAAGACTCCACAACTTAGAGGGAACATTGGATGGCACCCAGCTCTATTGTTATTGGGTGGTCAGTCCGACTCCAAACAGGAAGAGCTGGACCAGGTGTTACAAGCCGTGGCTGGTTGACTTAGGCTGAGCCGACTGAAACTGAATCCGACGAAGACGGAGGTCCTGTGTCTGGATCGTAGTGAACTGGGGTTAGGGATCCCACTCCCAACCTTCGATGGGGGCACCATTGGTGCCAGCGTCGGAGGTTAGGAGTTTGGGAGTGCTCCTGGATGCCTCCTTAACTGTGGAGGCCCAGGTAGCAGCTACTGCCAAATCGGCCTTTTACCACCTTCGACTGATCAGGCAGCTGGTTCCCTTCCTCGAACGTGACGACCTGGCGACAGTGATCCATGCGGTGGTCACCTCGAAATTAGATTGCTGTATTGCTCTCTACATGGGTCTGCCCTTGTCCCAAATCTGGAAGCTGCAGCTGGTGCAAAACGGGGTGGCCAGGCTGTTGATGGGTCTCTCCATATCCTGTGCTGAAGGCACTGCACTGGCTGCCTATAGCATACCGGATTTGCTTCAAAGTGCTGGTTCTTACCTTTAAAGCACTGTATGGTCAGGGACCTACATACCTGAGGGACCACCGCCTTTCCCCATATGTCCCCCAGAGAGCACTGAGGTCAGGGGCTCAGAACCGGCTGGTCCTCCCTGGTCTTAAGGAGGCTAGATTGCTGGCGACTAGGACCAGAGCTTTCTTGGTGGTGGCCCCAACCTGGTGGAATGAGCTCCCGGAGGATATCAGGGGCCGCCTTTCCCCATATGTCCCCCAGAGAGCACTGAGTTCAGGGACTCAGAACTGGCTGGCTCTCCCCGGTCTTAAGGAGGCTAGATTTCCGGCGACTATGACCAGAGCTTTCTCAGTGGTGGCCCCAACCTGGTGGAATGAGCTCCCGGAGGATATCAGGGCCTTGCAGCCTCAAGAACAACAAGTACTGCTGGAACATCTAAAATGAGTACTGTGAGCTGATGGCGGGTTGAGAACTACGAATGATGGCTGCTACTGTTTATGGTGAACGATCACTAGCACTTTATTATGGTTTTAGAACTGTTTTAATTGTATTTTTATGTTTTTAATGTGATTATTTGTTGTACGCCGCCCTGAGCCGGCTTTGGCTAGGACGGCAGGGTAAAAGTTCAAATAAATAAAATAAACAGGAAAATCCTGTAGAGCCACCTGAAAGCTTTTTGGATCCATCTGCCTCTGAGGGCAGATCATCTGAGTAGATCCCCCACCCCTTCAGAGTCTTGGTATCCTTGTAAGTCTAAACCCAAGCAGGTAGTGATCTGTCCA